AGAATGAAATAACTTTAAACGCTTATTGCCAAAATTTGAAGCTTACTCGTACTAGGAAGATACCTGAAATAAATTATAGATTTACACGCAGTTTACACTTCCAAAGGGAGACTAAGACAATTGAAGATTTTGTAACAGATACATGAGTATAGTTTGACTTTAGTTTGAAACATTGGTCCTAGCAAAGGTATTATTAGCAGGCAAAAACATTTGAAAGCAGGGCACAGTGTATGTAAACAATGCTGCCCAAAAGGAATGAAGTATACATATACTGTAAAAGTCATAAGTGTTAAGTATAACCATAAGGTTAATATGCACAAAACAACAAAACAAGTCAAGAAGTATACAAAGAAGTGTCAAAGGACAATGAATCTGAATACAGTTTCTTCATAAGCTAAATTAATGTGGGTAGGATGCAATGACAGAAAGAAGACTGGGTTTGAACAATATCTCAATTGTTTTATCAGAGTGATGCTGGTGTGCAAGTTAATCTAATTGCCAAAATTGACTATAACAAATGGAATCCTTTGTCATGTTTATGCATGTATCTGAAGTCATGTAATGGGACCCAAAAGCTACATTGGGTGGCTATGAATATAAATGCATTAATACTGCTAAATTCACAAAGAAACAACCTGGGGCTACAATCAGACAAATTACAAGTTACAAATTGTCTATCCTGTTTGCTCAATCAGTATAGAAAGACATCTTCATATCTACTTATCCATGAAGATTTTTTTCCTGTGATAATTCCAATCTCCCAGTAAATTGTTTTCATTATTGTTAATTAAGATGCACAACCAGTAGCACATGCTATGAAAAATTTATCAGTGCTGCAGAACGAAAACAAAACTGGACTGAATGGAAATTCAGACAAATTTGTTTTTGTCAAATTGAAAAACTAATAGATTTTAATCACAATGGAAGTCCAAGGTTTTGCCTGAAACCCAAAGTATTAAGTATGTGATTACAACAGATTTAAGCCTAAGCCAGAACTATATCTAGTAACTACATATATGAAGTCATATATTGTAATCATTTCAGATATACACTTCCCATAGACTCAAAGAGAACATTACTACATCCTAGCATCCTATGCTTAGTAGAATTCCAAATACAAAGATATTGTTCAGGGAGATGCAGTCAGGCTTTGACACAGATGCTGGATGAAGAAAAAAACATGTCTATGTACTTTTAATATGCTGTATCCTTAGTGCAGCTTTATTTATTTATTTATTTATTTATTTATTTATTTATTTATTTATTTATTTATTTATTTATTTATTTATTTTTAAACTTTTTATTTTGTTTATGCAAACATAACATCCTTGTAACATATTTCACTTATTTTACATAACTGTTGTGTTTCTTTTATCTGTACATGTAATTGTTATATAACTAGAAGCACGAAGCTGAGTAAACCAGCCTGAAGATGATGAATGAGACTTCGTTGAAATGTCGCCAAGACACTTCCAATTTTACACGGGAGAAAACACACAGTATACACACACAAACATTCATACACATATACAAACACATATTTTATTTTATATATCTTTTCTCTCCATTCTATATATAACAACCTTTATATACCTTTAAATCATCTTATATACATTTCTTATTGTTTATTTGCTACACTCCATTTTATATTTCTATCCTTTATTCATTTTCTGGTTTTGTAATTATTTTTTGATTTGTTGATCTTTCTTCTTTTCTTTTTTGCTTTCCTGCTTTTCTCTCTCTTCCCTCTAAGCAATTATACCATAAGTCCCATTCTAAGTAATATTCAGATTCTTCTTTGTCTTTTAATTCTTTCGTAAGCATATCCACATTCCAATATTTTTTAAACTACATTTTCTTCTGTTGGTATGTATTTATTTTTCCAATTTTGCACAAATAAAATTTTCGCTGCAGTGGTTATATGTAACATTAAATATTTAATACTTTTCTTGTAATTTCCCTTTATAATTCCTAGCAGAAATAATTCCGATTTTAGCTCAGTTTGGTGTGTGGTGATCTCGTCCAGCCAGTCTTTTATTTTTTTTCCAATATTTTTTTGCAGATGTGTATGTCCACCATGTATGATAGTACTTTCCATGTTGTTGATTGCCTTAGTGCGGCTTTGAATGCATACTTCTGCTCCTGAAGTGTTTAATTGCATCATGGAACAACTGATAGAAGGCATCCATGAACCATGGATGATGTTCTTTTGTCAGCCACCAAAGAATAAAATCTTGATCTTCACTTCAGTTTTTCTAGATTGGTTTGGTTCCTCACCTGCTGTGTGTTGCTGCATTTTACATATTTTTATATTATTTTTAAATGTTATTAAGTCACACAAAGTTGTTATGACAGGGGTGGCTATATAAATAAAATATAAACAAATAAATAATAAAACTGATATCGCAAGAAGCCTGTTAGCGTTAGAAGGAAACTAGGCCATCAAAGAACTATCTAAAGAACCATCACTAGCTAGAGCATAGAAAAACTCAAAGAAATAGTACAAGATCGGAAGATGTGAAGAGGCATGGCCCACAGAATTGCCAAGAGTCAGACTCAGCTAAAAGGATAACATTACCACCTTTATCAGAAAAAGCCAGCTCCTCAAATATAAAAATGAAAAAAGCAAATGTTTTAAAGTTCAAGAGAAAGACAATATCTGTGTCAGCATTCCAAGTATCATGCAGAATTAAATCAGAGCCCAAGGCAAAACGATCCTTAAAGTTCCAATTTAATAAGTCAGACATCTTGGCACATCTGTGGAATCCCAATTCTGGAAGTTACCTAGGATTCCCACCCAGTTGAAAGTTCATGATCTTGTTCCCACACCCACAAATCCATCACATGGTCCAATCTTCTTCTTCCACACTGGCATCTCCACCCAGCTGGTTCCAGTCAGGTGCAGAGGTGTGGAGACAAAAGATGACTTGTGCTCCTAGAAAAGAATGACAACAACACATTCCACAATTCTACTCCTTTCTATTCCCCCCTCCCAACTACTACACTAATGAAACAGCATAATGAAATAAGAGAGATTATGGCAGGCAAAGATCCTAAAAGGGATATAACTGCAGGCCTGACAATCTGTTTGTACGGAAATATCTAGCAAATTACTAATAAAGGATGTAATTTAACCAGGAAATACTAAAGTGCAGGCAATAATAGATAAACCAAAACCAGGATGCCAGAAAAAAGTCCATAGGATCATGGAAATAGTAAATTATGTCTTGAAATGCATTCCTTTTGGGCTCAAATAACAAATCTGGGGACATTATCATGCAAAGATGTGTCTGCTATTGGGCTTTAGCATATAACAAAGGATATCCAGATGCCACTTTATATGTTACATGCAGCAGATGTGTAATCAAGAAGCTAACTGAACAGTGTTGACTATTGCACGAATAAGCCATTTTGTTTAGGAAGAAGGATTCAACCAAAAGTTATGGTAAATAATGACAAGTTCCTTGCAATATGTTAAATTTCTTTTGTCATAGTCCAAGCTGATGTTAATAAACATAGTCAATTCATCTCTCTTTTCATTGCCTCCTTATATATAAGGAACACAGGAAATGGAGAACATTCTAGCAAAAGTTTAGAACAAAAGTAGGGAACAGAATCCTGATGGGCATTAATATTCCTGCCAAAATCTCTTCTGATGCCATTAAGCACCCTGCCACATCTGACTTTTAATTGTTCTGCTTCTTTTAATTAAACAAACAAATAAATCAGATTTTGGCTTATTGCAAACTAATGAATGAGTTTCCATCATCACTATTATTTCCATCAATACCTACAGAATTCACATAAATCTTACTGGAATTTTGAGAAAATAAAAAACAGATAATTGGCTACCGTCTGTGGAAATTTCCTCTAATATTTCTCCTATTTCCTTTTTATACAGGTTTTATATTTCCTCTTTCTGCAGTCATTCAGTTTTTACACTAGTTATTCATTTTACCCCCAAATCCAATAATAATATAATCTGTCTGCAATCACAACTTCTTTTCTTTGTATCTTTCATTATTTTCCTCAGTTTTCTAGCATAACCAAAAATGCAAGCATGTTTTAGGATAATTTCCTATGTATATACAAGACTTGAATAGATTATTTCATACTCTCTTATATATATTTTAGCCCTTTCACTCATAATTAAATCTACACCTTCATTTCCATACCTATATTTATCAACCCTGTTCCCCAAAATCAAACCAACATCAGTTGAATTTGTTACCTCATTCCTCTTTTAGTTTTATAACACAATATAACCATTTTCCTTTCACACATTGTATACATTAATTCATGTTGTTTACTGTGTACACCTCTTGCATTCCATGTCACAGCCTTACATATGTCACAGCTGTGCTAGACTGCTAGTTGGTACATCCTCATTGCCTATCATGGCTATGGTCAGTTGAGGCTTTGTGCACAATGGTTAGATACAAAAGATGTAGATTTGATTATCAGCCTTAGTTATAATGATGCCACATATAGATTAGTAAATAGGAGAGCCATGGCAATCAGTTTCATTACATTTTGGCTAATAAACAACAAGTACAACAAAGGTTTTACTTCAGATATCTATGCAAATTATATTGAAGATCTAGAAGTTAAATGCAGAATTCTAATACATGCTCAGGATTCAAATCATTTTGCATTGTGGATAAAAAAATAATAAGATGCAGTTCTGGATATTAACCAATGTTTGCAAGTATTAGAGTATTAGCATACCCTAAACTATTAACAATATCACAATAAACCAATCTCCCCACACACACACACACACACCAATCACACACACAAGTGTGTGTGTGTGTGTGTGTGTGTGTGTGTGTGTTTATATGTAAGATTTTTATGGCTAAAAAATGTAGCCATAAAATCTGTTTTTCAGACAGTAACACTGTGTGCTGCCTTGAAGAATTTTCACCACAGCAGAAGAATAAATAATTGTTAAAAGCACATATTTGAAAGTAGCATAATGGTTTGAATTTTGATTTTTGTAGATAATTGCATTTGATGAGTTAAAGACAGACTTCAAGAGTCCTATAGACCAGTGCAACCCAACACATGCGGTAAGTACTATTCTTTGGTTTAATAATAACCAACATTTAATTAAAACTATATTTCAAAAATGTAGTGTTAAATATAATCTTATGATTTTCAATACGCATTGAAAAATAGTATTCCTAGTGCCTTCATGGACAGGCCATTATAGTTTTCTTGGCAACCGTAGGCAAGTTGATTGCCATTGTCTTTGACCTCCCTGTCCAAACCCTCTATAAGTGATTTTTATTTTAATATGTAAATATAGAGAGCCTGGTCTTGACATAATTATTTCTGATTCAGAAATGAAAGTTCCTGCAATAAAACCTCATAAACTAAAGGCTGATTCATGCAATCTATAATTGGCTAAGGTATTTATTGCTGGTTGTATGCTGTAGCTGAATGCTCTGTAATTCTTTTCAGAGAGACATACTTTCTATAGAAGCTATATAAATAAACATAATTTATAGGTGCACTTCTCAAGGAGAATATGTGGCCCCACTGTCTTCATTAGATTCTGAGATAAAAGCTAAATCAATCAATCAATCTTTAGAAAAGATTCCTTTGGAGGTCAAATAAAACCATGGTTTCCTGAGGATGAACTAGATACAATTATTTAACACTAACCTCTTATGCACTGAATGTTGAATGTTGACAAATGGCTAACAATATAAAAATAAAAATTAAAACATGATAAAAGCAAGGCAAAGTAATATTGCAAGAGAGTAACAAACTATAATAGTATTTTAATAATGTAATGCTAGATGGGCATGCCTAAAGAAATGTATGTTGACCTCCTAAATTCAGAGAGATGTAATAGTATCAATAGCACACAATTTCATACAGAAGATATTCCATAACTTTGAAGTGATGTGGAACCTTGGTATTTTTTTAAAGGATACTAATAGCAGTCCAAGGCAGATAGTCTACAGCTATGTATTGAGAGAAGCAATTAACAGTCTGGCATACAAAATAAGTTTGGGAGCAGCCCAAGGGATCAGGAGTAGTTTGTGATTGCAGCAGGAATACAATAAATAGACAATAAATAGACAAAGAATGCAGATGTTCAGCATAATACAAGCATATTTTACAGTTCTTAAAATCTCTTCTGGAATTTCCAGGAGGAGATTTGAATCATCCATATTTTGTTTTTAAGCAATCACTGTTTCCTAGAATTCATGGAACTGTGTTTTGTTTAAATTGTAATGCACAAAACAGGATAATGTGCCATAGTTTGCCTTTGGACTGTTTAACATAATTCGAGTATAAAATCTCCAGCTGAAATTAGTATCTTTTAATGTGGGATGTAGGAGTCCTGGTGGCGCGGTGAATGCAGTATTTCAGGCTGTTCACAGTCTGGAGTTTGATCCTCACACGCTCGAGGTTGATTCAGCCTTTCTTTCCTGATTGGAAAGGATCCGGATAATCCACTTTCTCCAAGGCCCTTTGAAGCTGGTGCACAACCATCTTCTCCACCACCTTCCTCAAGAAAGGGAAGAGAGAGACACTGGACAAAAATTGTCCATTATGGTGGGATCCAATGATGGTTTCTTGAGGAGGGGTGAACCAACGCCTTCTTAAGAGATAAAGGAACAACTCTCTCACTCAAAGAAGACTCAATCTTCACCAGAACCCATTCACATGACACCTCCCAGGCCACTTTGACAAACAAGGCAAGGTATGGATCTAAAAAGCAGATGGCAAATCTTACAGTATTGAGGAACCTGTCCACTTCCTCAGGTCTAACTGGTTGCAATATAACCAGCAAAGACTTCTCCCTGGGCATCTTCTCATCATATTTTTTTATCCTGATATGTGAGCACATATTGTCTAGCATGCACTAGATGAAAAGAGAAGTGGGAATGTGTGAGGCTAAGCCTTCCCACACTTTTTGCATGCAGTTGGGAATCTGTCTTCCTCGTTGTATTTAATAATTTAATGGCAAACTAGTGAGGTTTTTAAATTGCCTTGCACTGATCATTATCTTCCTCCTTTCTCCCAATTTTGTTTTCACTGACTGACAGCAGCTCTCAAATATTTCAGATATAGATCTTTATTAAAGCTGCGTGAAGCACCACAATTTCATTGAGTAAAGCATCTGCGTTCTTTGGAAAGCTTGTGCAGCTGGTTGTCTTTATATTTGTGTACATATGCTGACTACACTTTCTCTGGAATTACCAATGAAACGAAGCAGCTGCACATACATTCACACATGTTGACAGCCAGGGAAAAGGAGCTGAACAAGCCTTCCAAATGACATGCCTGCTCCAACATTTTAAGGATGGGGGGCTTTGCAATTTCTGATGTGCTTAGCAAAGCATTCTCTTTCAAATGCTTTGTGCAATCCCAGTGTTTAACATCCAGCCACAGATCACACTTGGATCTAAAACAGGGAAGCAATTGATCTGATTTGCAACTTTCCTCATAGGGTAGAGGACTAAACCTCTCAAAAGAATGTAATCTGGTAATCCCATCCATAGATATGGCCCTGCAGTTTGCTATGTAACATCTGCTCAAATTATGTAATGGGAAAACTGTTCTGTGAAACCTCAAGCAGCCCCAAGGTGATCCAGTTAAGATGTAATTGATAGATTTTGTATGCTTAAGTCTGATAATTATAATTAACTATAATACCTACTCTGCTGTTTCTAGAAAAGTACCAATAATTCAAGTTTCTGCTGATCTCTCATTTAGCCAACTGTACTGTACATACTAAAGAAGCATTTTTTTCCCTTTAGAGAACATTTTTACCTTTAAACTCTGCAATAAAAGCTTAGCTACTTCAAACAGCAGAAAAATACTTGCTAATCATGTAAGGAGAATGGTTGTTACATATATACTATATTTCGAGAAAATAAGGTGGGACTTTCCAGCATAAGGAGAAAGTATAAGATAAAGCAAAATATGTGCCTGCACAAAACACACACTTTGCTTTTGTCTCATAATGTTCTTTAGTACCATTATGTGTTTCTGTCTTCCATAGTTCGTCCACTCTGTGGCAGCAAGCTCATCTTATATACTGTATCATCAAACTATAAGCTCCTTATTTTATCCCATGCATGAATTTCCAGGAATCAGTTGATAACTTTAAAGTTGCAGGAAAAAAATTGTAATTATCCAATCACTGCTGAACTACAGTTTCTAATATGCTGGGAGTTGCAGTTCAGAATTGGGGGCTAACTTCAGTTGCCTTGGCAAAAGTAAAAAAAAATGATATATTGATGTAATTGAAATATGTTTAGAGATGATCTCAGTGGATAACTAAGGCAGTACCATGTAAATTATACCAGAGGCAAGTATATTATAGGCTTTCTTTTGAGAGCAGGTAAAATATATGTTGATCCATGTGATTTGTTAATTTTAGGTCTCTTAAATTGTATAGTTTTACTCAATCTTTTCCCACTTTCCTTTGACAGAGGGAGCGGTTGAGAAACATTGAACGGATCTGCTTTCTTCTGAGAAAGGTAAAAATTAATTCAGATTGGTTTTGTTGAAAGGAAGCAAACCATCATGTTCTTATGAGCAGCAATAAATTCTTTTTTTTAATAGTAATTTTATTAAAATTACAACAACGATGATAAAAAATGAATACAAATCAAAAGCATAAAAATAAAAGGTTCAAAAAGAAAAAGAAAAGAAAAATAGAAAAGAAAGAAAAATAAAATTATAGTAGAGAAAAATAAAATAAATATATAAATGACTTCCCTTCATCACAATATATAGTAGAAACAATTAAGTTAGTGCCTTCTCTTAAAGTACAACAGTGATTCTTCCCATATCACATTTCTCATCTATAAACTAATCCTTAAAACCTCATCATCTCAGTCCTGATGTCAGCAAAAGTCCATTAAAATTATCAGAGATAACAACAGATCTATTTTAACCTTGATCAAATAATCCACCTTACATTACATTCTTTTATTTTTAATTATTTTTAGTTCCTTCAAATAATGTTCTAAAATTTTATGTATCCCTTTTACTTATTAAGGAATGCATTGCACTTTTGAAACAAACTTCTGGGTCCATTGTTCAAAAATACCCTTCAGTAAGTTGAATGTTATAATATTTTGCTCCATTCTGTATTAGTAAGTAAAATTTAAGTGTTCTTTTCTTTTAATTGTCATCTTTAGTTCCTTCAGTGTCCAACTTTCAAGGACCTAGACTTTTTTTTTAAAGAATTCAAAATAAAAAAAATATTTCCCCACAGGAAGGATTCTTATACTTAATTTCAAAATCTTATTTCAAATTTATCTGGAACTCCTAGTCTGCTTGTAACGTTTGAAATCAAAGTTTTGTTCACCCTTGCTGTTTATTCCAGAATAATTTGTTTAAATCTTCTTTCACTGAGAAATGAAAGAAATTCACCCGGTATTGTAAAATTTGTCAATCCAAAAGTCCTAATAGCTAAAAAGCAGATAAGCAATTTCTAAAAATGATTAGAAAAGGAAATATACAAACCCAGTGCCCTTCAAAGTTCCAAGTATGGGTTGAACAAGATAGCCATTCCCATATCTTGGAGAGCACTAAACCTACTGGAATGAAACTAACTACAAGGCACTTCCATTCAGTCTACAACATACCCACCCCAAACCCGAACTTTTGAGAATGTCATTCTGTTCAATCCCCTCATTTTTAAGACAATTTATAACTTTTAGAACATAATTGGTGTCTGACATCTATCTTTATCTTTCTGTACTTAGACATATGATTGGTGTAATGATCCTAAATTGGGATATAATAAGAGGAATAATAGATATATAATCAAATGTTATGCATGGTCTGAAGAAAAAAAAAGATTATTTCCCTCATTTTCTCCTGTGGTTTTTAGTCATATAATGAAGCTGAGTCATATTATTTTTTACGAAATAAAGGGTTGCAAGGAGGCATGCTTCTTTTTTCCTTCGTTGTTTAACTAGCTGAATGGTAAATGGCCTTATTTTCTTCTGTAGTGTACTTTAATATCCGTTTTTCTGTATGGTTGGTTCATACAGCAATTTTGTATAACTGCAATGAAAAACAGCATAAGAATTATCTTTCCCGTCACACTTGTTGAAAATCTTTTGCATTCATTTTACACAGTGCTTGAACAAATTGGACACTCTTGGCTTACATGCCAAATTTTTAATAATGAATTGAGAAAAATACAAGGAGATTGGAGGAAATACTATATATATAACACACACAAAAATACAAAAAATAAATCAGATTGTTTTTTTAAAAATCATTGATTTTTTTCTTATTCACATGTGTCTTGCCAACACGATAGAAAGGAAACCCAGGATCTATGCAAACATGGCTGAAAATAAGTGGTATTCCCTCCATCTCTCTTTGAACATTTTATATATCAAAAACCTTTTTTTACCTTCAGAAACCGCAAGAAAATATTATGCTGTATGCTTGCAAATATTTCTTTGAACCACAAAACATAACCTTTCTTCAGATTATATTTGTTCTAAAGGATTCTTTTAAAAATGGTAAATAATGTGGGCATATAAACACAGCCATAAGGATTTTTATACTTTCATTATGTATGTGGGGTCTATTTTCTTTTCATTGTGCCTCCTCCTTTTGCTTGTGAAAAAAATGACAAAACTTATATAAGAGTTTTAAAAATCAAGACAACTACTATATGGCAGAAAAAAATGCAAAAGACTCTTAATGCTTTGCCCCAACTGATATGTTTGCCTTGAGCACAGACCATTCTCCTTATGCCCCATTATGGGTTTAATTTGTTGCTACTTTTGGAAGGATTTGTTCGATTTAGATAAATCTGCTTTTGAGATACTCTGTTCTCTGCTTGGTTGGATTGAAGAGGCTAAGATGCCTTGGTTGGGTGGATGCTTTACCTTCGTTATAAAAATGGCAGACTCAGTATTAAATAAGTAGAGATTCTATCCATGTTCATGTCTTTTGTTTTTAGAATATGCCTTTCAGCTTTAATCTTCATAACTAGACAGCTGTATACAAACATGCTTAACATTTTTATATCTATTTAATCAATACAGTAAGATCTTGTTGGAGTTACACAATATGCTTGATAATCTTTACAATTCTGTTCAAAATGTAGTCTTCTACACTTCTTTATTATTGAAGAAGTGTATTTTCATAGTGACTTGTACTCCAATACCCTTCATGGTATTGGACCTGGGTACTTGAGAGACTGCCTGCTGCCAATTACCTCCACTAGACCGATCAGATCCCACAGATTAGGCCTCCTCCNGGGCAATATGCTGACTCTGTAAACTGCTTAGAGAGGGCTGAAAGCCCTATGAAGCGGTATATAAGTCTAACTGCTATTGCTATTGCTATGACTAAGCGCTGAAGGCACACGGAACGCTGTTCCCTTCCCACCAAAGGTGGTCCCTATTTTTCTATTTGCATTTTTACGTGCATTCGAACTGCTAGGATGGCAGAAGCTGGGACAAGTAAGAGAGAGCTCACTCTGTTACCCGGCACTAGGGATTCGAACTACTGAACTGCCAACCTTTCTGACTGACAAGCTCAGCGTCTTAGCCACTGAGCCACTGCGTCCCTGATTCATTAACATAGGTACTCATTAACTTTCACTATTCCCAGTTTAAGGAATATGTTATTATTCTCAATAATTACAGTTGTTATCTATTTAACATCTTGTGTACGGTTTCCAGGTTTTAAAGGCGTTTTAAAAAAAACAAACACTGAGGCTTCAAACCTTCGGCATTTTCAGAAATGTAAAAAAAAATCCCTGCCCCTTTCATCAGACTTTTGATGGGTGATTAAAATAAAGATTAATTTTAATTTATGTTTTTAACTTTAAGGAATCGTTGGTGTTTTGTTTTTTCATCCCTGTGATTTTGCAGCAACCTCAAGTACCTGCCTAAGAAGGATGATACAATATTAATTGAAACGAATGAATAAGCAGCCTAATATACTGTTGAGATGAAAGTATAATAATATTGTAGGTTCCAAACCGTATTAAATAAATCAACAAATCAATCATCTTTACAATTTGCACCACTTTAGCAGTGTGGTTTTGTCATAATTAAACACTTCCAGCCCCTCCCAATATTAAACACTTAAGAAAAAGGAAGGAAATAATTCCTTAGATAATAAGGTATAAGCATGCTAACAGCAAAAGGTTCATGCTGAATAAAGCATCAATTTTTTTGTCGTCACTTATAAAGCCCTTCATGGTATTGGACCTGGGTACTTGAGAGACCGCCTGCTGCCAATTACCTCCACTAGACCGATCAGATCCCACAGATTAGGCCTCCTCCGAATTCCATCCGCCGGCCAGTGTCGACTGGCGACTACCCGGAGGAGAGCCTTCTCTGTGGCTGCTCCGACCCTCTGGAACGAACTCCCCGTGGAGATTCGAACCCTCACCACCCTCCAGGCCTTCCGCAAAGCCCTTAAAACCTGGCTGTTCCTACAGGCCTGGGGCTAAAGAGTTTTTGCCCCCCTTCTCGAATGGTATGGTTGTTGTGTGTTTTTAAATTTTGTATTGTTATGTCTCGTCTTTTTTATCCCCCTGTCTGTACCCCCTTCCCTGATTGAATTGTGAGCCGCCCTGAGTCCCCTTCGGGGAAAAGGGCGGCATAAAAATGTAATCAATCAATCAATCAAAAAACAATGTATTCCTATATTTCTTCAAACAGCAGCTCAGAAGATTTGGACTTCACCAGTTATGATCTGGGTGGATTCCATGAAGACAAAAGTCCGGGAAAGAAATCAAGAAGGACTCAAGCAGGACATGACAGCAGTCTTCCAATATTTGAGGGGCTGCAACAGAGAGGAAGGGGGTCAAGCTATTTTCCAAAGCACCTGAAGGCCAGATAAGGAAGAATGGATGGAAACTGACCAAGGAGAGATTCAACCTAGAAATAAAGAGGAACTTTCTGACAGGGAGAACAATCAACCCATGGAACAGAAGTTGCCTTCAGAAGCTGTGGGAGCTTCATCACTGGAGGCTTTCAAGAAGAGACTGGACTGCCATCTGTCAGAAATGGCGTAGAGTCTCCTGCTTGGCCAGGGGGTTGGACTAGATGAACTACAAGGTCCATTCCAAGGTGGCGCAGTGGTTAAATGCAGCACTGCAGGCTACTGCTAGATCAGCAGTTCAGCGGTTCAAATCTCACCGGCTCAGGGTTGACTCAGCCTTCCATCCTTCCGAGGTGGGTAAAATGAGGACCCAGATTGTTGGGGGCAATATGCTGACTCTGTAAACCGCTTAGAGAGGGCTGAAAGCCCTATGAAGCGGTATATAAGTCTACTGCTATTGCTATTGCTATTTCATCAATTAATTAATTAATTAAGTTAATCAACCTGGAATTAAGGAGAAACTTCCTAACGGTGAGGACAATTAACCAGTGGAACAGCCAGCCTCCAGAGGTTGTGGGTGCATTCCTCACAGGTGGTTTTTAGGAAGAGACTGGACAGCTACCTGTCTGAAATGATATAGGTTCTCCTGCTTGAGTAGATGGTC